TTTTTTGCACAAAATTAGTGTTTATTCCACCTTTGTGTCATATTCCTGGATCCTTTACCAATGTTACATGAGGAAACAAACAAAAGCAAAACAAATGAAAAACAAATCAGAATCACTAATGTTATCAAGTAGGGAAACAAATAAATTAAAATCTAGCAGCCATCAGCAAGAGTACAGCAAAGATGATGCTGTAAAAAGAAAACAAAGAAATTGCTAGAAAACTGTATGCATCATACTCTTTCAAACCAGCAAAATATGCTCCTTAAATACAATGGAACATAAATTTTTTTCCTGTAAGGTATAGAAATACAAGTTCTTTTTTGAATATTGTGGATGGATAAAATGTGTTTGTAATAGTAATTCTACTAAGCTATTACAGAGTGGGTCAGGAACACATTTATGAATTTTGGGGACGAAGTGTACTATAATTCTTTGATTGGGAAAATGGACATTAGTCAAAATTTTTAAAAAAATGAACACAGAAGTACAAGACAAAGGCGAATGAGACTTCTTTTATATCTTAGCAACATTTAGATGGAAATCAAATTTAAATGCAGTCTACTCTGCTTTTGAAGAGGAAATCAAATTTAAATGCAGTCCACTCTGCTTTTGAAGAGGCTTTGGTTCAGCTCCCAAATCTTGATTGCTTGACGCAGTCTCCTATGAGAATACTCAGAAGGTGTCTTCTTAAACAACAAACTTATTTTTAGTGGTGGAGCTGGTCTTAGTAGCTGTGTCAGCATGGGACTGATAACCAACCACTATCTTTGGAGGAAGTCTTAACCTTTCCTTGTATACCCTCCCTATGTGTGTAACAGCCTCTTTATTTTCACATTCAGTAGTCCATATTGCTATCTTATCACCTTTTGCTCTAACATTAACCACAGCTCCACACACATCATCACTGTAGTCATCAAAAGACTCTCCAATAAGGCACAGCAGTGTCTCTAGCCAAAAGCAATCGAGGTCACTTGGTCTCTGCTGTTTGTTCAATGTAATTAGCCATCGTCCTCCCCATTTGTTTTTCTCAACTTCCAACATAGACTCAATACCGTCCTTAAAAAGTGAGTAGTCACAGCCAGGCATTAAATTACTAGACAACTGGATATGGTTGTATAGAGTCCAAAAGTCTTCAACAGTATCAAACTTAGAGATCAGTCGAAGGTTTGCTTGCCAAGTTTTGCTCTTATCATTTTTAAAGTACATTTATAGTGTTCTGGGTTAGCAAGCTCCTGATTAGATTCTGTTTTCTCCTCTTCTGTAGGTGGGGGCTTAGGGATAGGGGTGGTTTCCGGTTGCACAGTCGCCATCTTAGATCGATCTCACTTCTGGGATATTTCTGATTGGGAATTTCTGCCCCATTCTCAACCTTGCCACAAGAGGTCATGTATGCTACAGTTTTAATGAGAAATTATTCAATGCGTTTGAGTGATATAAATTAAGAGCCCACCATACACTAGATACTGTCTGGGTAAAGAGTGTAAGTTCCTGAGAAACAAAAATACTTACATGCCACTGATGGATAAGACATATGAGCTGACAAAGAAGTAATTGTGTTATTTATAAGATGTTAATAAGTGCATAGAAGAAGAAGGAATTATGTAAAGAGGAGAGACTGGACAGAGGTACCGCCAGCTCTTGGGTGTGTCCAGGCAAAACTGGCAAACAAAATGGTGTTTGAACAGGTAGAGAGGGTGGGAGCTGTGAAGGTATCTAGAGAAGTGTATAGCTTGCAGAGAGGATAAGTAGAGGGCAGAGTGACGAGATGGTATTAGGGGATATTGAGGAACAAGGAGGCCTGCTGCAGCTGAAACTTGTAGTCCTCTTAACTCCTTATGTATGCAGTTCTCTAAGAATGTGGATAAAGCAGAAAGCTTCCCATTGACATGTAAACTTGGGCCACAATTTGATATGATTATTTTGTGTCATGTACTTAGGGAAATTTTGTAAAAAATCTACTTAATAAGCAGAGAGAGAGAGAGAGATGAATTAAATGGGCTGAGAGGGGAAAAGCCTGATGTAGTGAGGTGATCCATGAATGGATGAAAATCACAGGATGAAATAAGCTTCTTCGGCTCTAAGAGGGTGTCAACTCTGGGGAAATACTTTTGATGTCCAGAAGAATCAACAAAAGAGAAAAAAACATACCTGAAAGAATAAGGAGTGATATCTATATAATGACTAAATATTTTACAGATTTAATACTCCCAGAGAAAAATGAGCAAATGAACTGAACCCATGATTCGAAAGACAAAATATATAAAATATAACTAAATTGAGGGTATGTTTAAAGGATACAATGGAAAATGTCTTCATTCAATAAAAGATATTAAATATAACACATTTGGAAAGAAACAAACAAAAAAACAGGATGGGACTCTTGGATATACCATGTATCAGTTGTCTGAAATCGGATAACCACAACCATTCTAAG